TTTGTAGTAGTCGTAGTGGTTTCTCATCTGTTTTTGGTCAACGACTAAACCGTGTTCCTTTAATAATTTTTCGGCTACAGTTTTCCATGAATTTGGTTTTAGGGCACTACCCTCACGACCATATGTGGTTACTTCTTGGATACAAGCATCAAGAAAAGTTTTGTCTAAACTTTGGTCCCAAATGATTCTAGATTTTCTTTGTGACATGTCTATAATAAAAAACAGCAATAACTATGAAATTTCAGCATATATATTCAAAAAAACAGCATGTATATACACAATTCAGCATATATATTAAAAAAAAAACAGCATGTATATACACAATTCAACATATATATTCAAAAAAACAGCATGTATATACACAATTCAGCATATATATGAAATTCAACATGTATATTAAAAAAAACAGCATATATATACACAAATCAGCAAGTATTTTCAAAAAGCAAAAAACAAAAAACAAAATCAGCATGTATATAGACAAATCAGCATGTATTTTCAGCATCTATGTAAAAAATACATCATATATCGGCAGAAAAAAAAACAAAAAACAACATGTTTCAACATTTTTGTTCATCTTTCCGAATCAACACGTATTTTCTTCACCTATGCACGAAAATCAGAAGAGAAAAGAAAACAAGATGAAAAACATGAAACAAATTCTGATTTTGATACAAAAAGATGAACAAAAATCAGATTTCTAACATACAACTGAAAGAGATGAAGCATAAAAATCAGAAGAAAAAAAAACATAACACAAATGAAACATACAATCGAAATACAATCAAAAGAAATCATAATTTCTGATTTTAATCCCCAGAAGAAATCGACAAGAAATCGGCAGAAAAAAAAGGAAGAAATTACCTTGGGAGGAGCTGCAGGGCGGAGCCGGTGGTGATGGAGGCTGCTTGGCGGGGGGAGGCTGGCCGGAGAAGACGAGTGATGAAAATCGACGAAGGGAAGACGATGATGACGGATGGAGGCGACGCAGGGAAAGGGAATACGCTTCTTTTTTTGCTAGGGCATAATTGTCCAACGCCTTTTCTTTTCCATACAGACTTGGGTTTATTGCTTTGTGGGAAAGACCCATCTTAGCGAGAAAGATGATTTTTTTGGTCCAAATCAAACGGTCTTTCCGGCCCATTCAGCTGGAAAGATCTTTATGGGTCGGGAAAGACGTTTATCAAACGGAACCTTATTGAAAGTGTTCACATATAACCGTTATGACCGGTTGTAACTTGCTACAACCGGCATAATGGTCATATGTGAATACTTCTAAAAAGTTCGTTATCTAGATGTGTACAAAAAATATGAAAATTACTCAAATATGAACAAAACGAATACATAGTTACTCTGATAAGTTAATTTTTCGTTTTTATTAATATAAATAAGTAAAATGACTTAATAGAACAAAAAATATATATATATTTATTTTGTGTATATCTAGTTATCGATTTTTTTCATAATTAACTATTTAATTTGTTTTTTGTATACATTCATTTTTTATAACTGACTACCCCGGTTAAACCAAACAAAAAATGAGTTAATAAGATAATATAATTTTTAGTTTGTATATATTTATTCCTTAATATTTTTAGCTTATTCTTTATTTTATGTTTTCTTTCTTCTTGTCTACATTTTAGAATCAATAACTACTAATTTGATGCTCTAAAGCCTAATTTCTATAGCCACAGACATACATTTGGACGTTGCACACATCAAATATTACAGCCAAGCAACATGCCATTTTCAAAGTGGCTTCTTCATTTTAGATCAATTAATTTTTTTTCTTTTATACTTACACTCTTTATTGTCCCGACTACACATTGGAATCTTAAAGTCCGTTATATTTTTAAATGTGATTTCTATGTCTCCAACCTTTTCACAACTAATTTATGGGGTTCAAAAACATATATTTATCTATTTTAACATCCCGAATATTCAAATTTAAAGGTGTTAAAAGTACATATCCCTTAAGAAGATTATGACCCCGAAATCACTTTGTAGTATAAGAAAACAGGGTAATAAATATATCATCATTTATTCTTTGATCTCCCAAGTAAGGTTTTGTTTATAAGAATGTTTCCATTTCATCTATAAGTAACCCTTGAATAAGTAACACAAACGCTGATGATTAAATCTTCATTAGAAAGGACCTCATATATCATCAATCCATGAATAAGTAACATGTACCACGATGTTGGTGTTACATCAAGCAAATATCATAAACATGTGGCCTCAAATATTGTGCAACGTTGTTATGATAAATAATCTAAGACTTTATGGACATAACCTATAGTTCCTACTTGGTTCACTTGTCCACCAAAATTCTTGTTATCATGGTATTGTAAAACAAAATAACGAAAAGTAACATTGACAAGGAAAAATGGTTTATGGTATTTTTCGTAGGCCACACTTGTGAAAATATCAAAAATGGCTTGTGAAAATACCAAAAACATATAATTTGTGAAAATACAACAAACATATAATTTCACATGCATGGCCTACAAAAATACCAAAACTGGCCTACAAAAATACCGCAAACAAGTAATTTTGCAGGTACAACCTACAAAAATAATATAATTTATCAATGAAATTACTCATGTTTGAATTTCAAAATTAATCTGTTGTAGGTATGACGAGTAAAAATACCTAAAATTACCGGCAAAAATGTCAAAAATCTTTTTTGAATTAAAAAAAAAAACAAAAGTAATAGCAAAAAATTGCTAGAAACGTATTTTAGACACTTCAAATATGGATAAACACTTATTTTCGCAGAAAATATATGGAAAGATGGATGTTTGCTATTTTTAGTGTTTAATTGTCAAATCTGTACAATTTACGATCTATACGAATATAACAAAAAAGAAACTTAGGTGGTGTTTGTTTTTTGTCTGCAGATCTGCGTAACCTCTTCTGTCTGCGCCGCGCAGACCACGCACAGACATTAGCCTTCGCAGACTGTTTGTTTTTTTTGAAGACTGCAGACCTAAAAATGTCTGCGCGCCCTCTTCTTGGCGCAGATGTGGACCAGAGTCTTCTAACATCTTCAGACATATTCTAGCCTAAAAAAACACATATATCTTTATTTTTTTTAAGTTTTTTTTTAAATTTATATTTTTTTCCAACTTTATTAATGATAAGCAATTTGAAAAAAAAATTACAAAACTTAAAAAAAAACGTTCGACGATACAAACATGATATTTTTGACAAATTTATAAATAAATATTTATTACAACAATAGTCGTTGAAGTTGTTTATATAAATATGAAAAAAAAATCATAATATATATTCTTATATTTTTTTACCAAATTTTGTAAAACATTATTTAATACAATATCGTCAATTTCTTGAGAAAATATTTATGGTACGTTTTTAATGGATTTAATTGAAAAAATCGAAGTTTATTTCCATCCATTTATGTATCAAATTCTTTGATCCCTAATTATAATGTTTAGTTATAACTTTGCAACCAAAGTTGTTGGTTTTTTATCAAATATATACGTTAATTCATACAATTTTTTTTATACAATAATACATAAAAGTTGATCTAGATTTGTTAATTATTTATAACAAAGTCAAAAATATTAAAAAATCACTTTGAAGTTAAAAAAATCAGTTTATTTAGATTTCAGTTTATTTTAGTAGTCCGCAGATGTTAAAAAAACAAACAGTCTTCTTTTTTCAGACTGCAGACGTTTGGTCCACCTCTTCTACTGCAGAGGTCTACAGATGTGGTCCGCAGACTGCAGACATATTGCCTCAGAAAAAACAAACAGCGGTCGTGATTCCACCCATTATACTCTTTTTTCAACCATATTGTTCAAAGACGAATTTCTTAAGTTGAAAAATGGGATTTTTAGCTAAAGGCCCATTGACCCATTTCGTTGTCCATCATTTTCCATTTCGTAGGCATTCTGCACTTCTCTAACAAATTGGTGAATGGTGATTACCTTTGGAAAAAAAGTTAATTTTTGTTTAGAAAAAAAAATTATCTTTTTGCTTAAATTATTAATCTGTGTTTAGTTTACCATTTTTTTCTTTGCGTAGGGCGTTTTTTTTTTTGTCATATTCTTTTTTTCTTAGATTAGGCGTGCATTTTTTTCCCTTTAATTCTCCTTTTTCATGGTGGTATAATCAATGAATCATATTTCAATCATATTTCATCTTGAATACAGAATATATCAAGCTTTGGGCTCCAGTTTCGCCTCAACATCATAATCAGTCATCGAATCCTAAAAACCAAATTAAAAGCTATATAGTTTTGTAATAATTTGGCTGCTCATGTCATTGCTGATGATAATTTAACGACTTACAAGTCATTGGTGGGTTTTCTAAGCATGCAAAAAGAGAAGTCGAAAAAAATATCCAGCAACGAGTCATGGAAATGGATGGTGGAAGTTAATATGGAAGGTGGCGTCAATTAATGTTTCCCATACAAAGGTGAATATGGGTGGTTTTTGTTTCAAAGAAATGAAGAAAAACACCATGTGGTTAATTTGTCACATTTGTCATTTGTGCAACAAATAAATGTTTACCCAATTACAACCAACATGTCCTATTATACAATCAATTCTCGCCATACTGTACTTTCTAAAGTTTCATTAGTTTTTACACATTCACTTTACTGGTAGCCGACCTATTTACTCACCATTTTAAGCATTTGCAACATTTAATATTTTTGTTAGGAGAAAATGCAAAACTTGCAACCTAATTTCGTTTATCTGTGTAAATAAATTAACGTTAATTAATATTTAATAATGTTAGAATGATATATAGAATGGCTTGTAAATAGAGGATTTATATATATTGGTAGCTAACTCTTGTAAATTTTATAGAATAAGAATGGGAAGTATCGAATTTATTAAGCTGGTTAAACCAAAACTTAAATAATCTACAGAGAAAAATAATAAGTAAAATAGTTGAAATTAATAAAGTTGGCCCCTCCCTCAATAGTATATAAATAGCAGATCTTCCATATATCATTCACATGCAGTTATGCACCATGCAATCTCGATCTCACTATCCCATCTTCGTTAAAAAGTTTAAAATTATATTCAGAAAAGAATTTCTATATATATCTTCTTCCTGTTTTCAGGAAAAGATTATTTAGAAAGCTTCAAATGGGTTTCTTTCCACATGAGAAAACATCAAATTCAAGAAGATATGTAGGGATATGGTTTACAATGGACCCAAACATCGTTTTGTGGGTTGATAAGCCGCTACTTGATAAAAGTGGATCAGTTCTTACGCTTTCAGAAGAAGGTAATATTAAATATATATTATGTCTTCATGCTAGCTAAATAGCTTTCTTCTTGAATCGGGATATTCTTGAGGCACTTGTTCATGTTGAACATAAGGATGAGTAGTAAATTAACCTCCTTAAGCCCTGTAGCTCCATTGTCACAACCCTCATAGTTGGTCTGTTTTCTCCAGCTAAGTCAAGGAATCTCTTTACAAGCTCTACTACAGCCAAACACTCCCTTCATTTAGTAATCTCGGTTCCACAATTTGAAAGACGGTTTTCATTCATGCACTTGACAAAGTGGGTTAAAGGTATGATATATATATATATATATATAGAAAGTACTTTCAGTTAATTATTATCTCTATATATAACTTATAATACGTAGTAACTTTAGAATCTCAGCAGGGTAACCTTCCTGGAGGAAAACTAGTTGCAGTGAAGAGGTGTGTTCTGTGTGAAATCTGATGTTTTTAGCTTGGAAATAGTAATAATTGAGGTCATAAGTAGAAAAACGAACAAAGGATTCTATCGATACAAGCCTTTTAGGACAAGTAAGTTCTATAAGCTGACTTATGAAGTGTTATTGTTACCTACTCTGGTTTTTATATGTTGTATAATTTTTATATATTTCAGGCACGGAGTTTATGGATGGAAGATGAGCCATTGGAGTTGATGGATCAAATACTAATGGAATCAATGCAATCCAAATGAAGTGTTGAAGTGTATTATTGTTGGACACCTTGTACAAGGACAACCTACATGGAAAACATGTTTTTGATGCTTAAAGGTGAAATTGCCACCCTCCCTCAAGAAGAACCACCTTTCATTTCAGGAAGAAGCACATGCTACTTCTTCATCTAGCTTGTCTAAACCAGACACCCAAAGCAAAAAACACTGAATTAATTAGATGGACGCTAACAATGTATATATGTTAACTACAAATTGGATTTATCAAAGTTTATGTGGCTACTAACGATATCAAGAGTTGTTGGAAATATGCCCTTCAACCAATAGGTTGAAGGTTGAAGTCTATTTAGGACAAATGTGTAGATTAAAAGGTATGTGAGTTAGTCATTAAACGAAGAGTTGGATTTGGGTTTATTAAATTATTCGCACGTTTAAGAAAATCCTATTGCGATCCTCGACAAATGTTTCTTTTCAATAAAGCTTCTTTTTGAATACTTTTTTCCTTAGTTGAATATGCGGTCAATTATATTCTTTAAATGAATTTTGATAAGACGTAAAATCATGCTCATGCAACATATGAGTGGTTTGGTGGGTACAAGTTTTTTTAATCAAATGTGGCTCATCAGAATGAGTTGTTGGAAACCCGGGATCGAACTGGTGACTTTCTTATCATTTTTCAAGTTCCCGAATTTAATAAAGGAAATGAAATAAGGGGATGAAAAATAAGGAGAGAAAAGAAAAAGAATGTAATGTAAAGATATATTTTATTTTCGTGTTCTCCGGTTCGAAAGAAAATGAAAGAAATGAAGTTGTTTCATGACAGAAAACACAACGTTCGTGAGATGTGTCGAAAGAAAATAGTGATTATAGATGCTACGTATTTTTTTTAATATTAGGTTGAAGGGTAAAATCGGTAAATGACATAGACTTATATTTGTATAGAATTACTTTATTTCCAAATCAGTCCATTTTAGAAGCAAAGTTACGAGGAGTCACGGTCACCAATAATCTTTCTTTTCTCTTCAATCCATTTTTTCCATTAAAAAACTACGATACAACATTTTTTTTTTTTTTTTTTTTCATTTTTCCCAATTTCTTTCGCTTCTCTCATTAAAAAGGAATTGGAAACATAGTCGTAAAAAAATATATCCATGTAATCCATTGCGACAAACCAGTAGACCAATTATTTTGGTATTTTCTTTTTTAAAATGTATAGTACGGTAATAGCTTTTATAAAAAAAGTTTCAATTTTTAATGGCTTTTATAAAAAAAAGATTATCATGTGAAAATCGTAAAAATGATAAAACTATAATAATTTTCTTACCTTCTGCCGCCTTCTTACGAGTTCTATTTGGATAAAATGATTAAATCTATTTTTAGTAAATAATTGAGGGTCTATATATTGCAATTTTCTACATTATCTAAAGTTGTAAACTGTTCTCAAGTACTTGGTTTTAACACATTTCATTTCATTTGAGGTTTATTTTTGTAAAGCTATGATCATATATAACCTAATAAGTATCGTATAAATGTATAACTTATTCTCAGCAAATCATTTAATAAGGGCATAACAGTCATTTAATATATAAATTAATTAATTAAGTTTAAATCAAAAGCTATAAATTACAATGATATTTCTCTTTGGGTGTTTTGGATGTTTAATGTTTAATGTTTAGTGTTTAGTATCTTGCTTCATAACTATATATCAAGATTTTGGTGTTTGGATTTTACATTCTTATATCTCAAGAATAGTTAATTCGTGTTTATATTCTTACCACACAAGTTCTAACCTTTTTTTTTTCACCTTTGAAGCAATTATGTATATGTTTTGTATTATTTTTAATTAACAAATTTGTTTCTTTAAAAGACTTGTTATGGAATCATAAGCTACAAAATTCATAAAAAATACAATGTTTATAATCATATTGTAAATGTTATTCGGGTTATTCGAATTTTAGAATCCTAATACGGTTTATTCGGTTCTTTTTGGTTATATTAGGTCGTTAATCATCTTGTACATGTTATTAAAGTAAAAACCGAACCGAACCAATTAATACCCGAACCGAACCAAACGCATATTGGTTATTTGGTCCGGTTTTCGGTTCATGTAATTGCCCTTATTCGGTTTTCGGGTTATTTGGGTTCAGGTTGGTTCGGTCTGGTTCTGACCCGAATAACATCCCTAGTCACATTGACTATTTGGTTATGAATCCTTAATGAAATTTCTTGTTCTAAGAATTTCTTCCCAATATGCTATATTACCAAAAGTCACAGAGCTACATTTCTCTACTCATTTCGATGTTTAGAGATGTCTGCTTGGTCCTTATTTCATAGCAGAGGTACTACGATTCTTTAACCAATCTTAGAAACCGATGATGTCTTGGATATATACGAATCCAAACATAGGGTTCCTTCTAAACCAAACATGATTTTTTATTAACCTTTGACATTCCAAGTCTATAACAAATTGGAGTTATGGTTTTTCAAAGATTTTTTTTATGATCAATTTCATTGTCACCATGGGATTGTGAGAAACTCGATTACATCTTCTTATCTCATATTTCTTACACTTTGCACACACAATGACGCATATCCCAAGACATCTCTAGTCCGAAACAACTACAATGTAATCAATCAAGTGTTTTCTTTCGTATCAATTTTCATATCACCATATTTCCATTTTTTTTTAAATTTGATCCTCTATTACTGTTGAAACACATTTGCACTAGAATCCTCGAGGTTATAAGTAAAACCACCTAGATTCTACCAAGTCTAGTTAATGATTCCAGTAATTCTTCTCGTGATTTGATGAAACTTTTCTTTATCCTTGATCTATTTGGAGATATTGTAACACTGGTTGTAATTCCAACGGATTCTATTTCAATTTTAGAAAATTGAAGGGTGGACTCGGTCGTTACGAAACTGCTGCAAATTGAAATGGTATATTTCTCTTATTTCGAACGGTTGCGATCAATCAGAGTGGATCGTAATAAGTTCAATGCGAAATTCGGTTTGTAGTGATTCTGTGACATCCTCAAATTTTACGGTCATTTTAAAACTTTTTTTTTATGCTTATTTAATACATAGTTTATTCATTAGTGTGGAATTTGGTCCCGTAAAAGTATTTCCGAAGAAATGTTTCCATTGATTTATTAAGGTTGGGGATGTCATAACTGATACTAGAAACATAAGCATTACAATGTCTCAATGTACTAACAATCTACATCTCTTTGAATCTATCAGCATATACATACATCATTACCCAAGTATCTTTATTTAATTACCTGCGATTCAAATAAACTGAGTGGGTCAGGTTGGGAAACCTGGTGAGCACATAGGGTTTTCAACCCACAATTATATTATTAAGTATAACATGCGATTATATCAAACCATATCATATTGTACAAATATATCAAACACATCAAAACAGCACACATATCATTTAAGCATTTAGAATACTTGTATCTATGTATAAGTTGAAAGTAACTATGCACTCACCTGACAGAAGTAGGTAATTTAAAGCTAGGGCATCGCTTCGCCTTCACACTTTTCAAAGACCTAACTGTTTAACACTAAGTCTTAGCCTGGTTTCATAACCCTATCGATTATTTAAATAATAGTCTAGATTCCTCACTAATCTCAATGTCTACATCAAGATCTATCAAGTAAGGAACAACCAGTTAGGATCATATCGAAGGCAGGGTCCGTTTGGTAGACAAAGTATACTGTTTGGAAAGCCCACTTTAAGCACCTTACTAAATCCAGCCTAGACATCATCCCCGTAAGTAGATCAATCAATATAAGGACTTGGAATTACTGATAAATCTTAATTATAGGTTTATAATAACTACTATGACTATAATTAAAACTTACACTTGAATAAAACAAAGTGTAGATTAACTTACAGAGTATTCTGATGGAAACCAGGGATTATATGAGCAGAATTCTGATCCGGGAGATTCTATTCGCCGACTATCTGACACCGCAGGCTTCGCCAAAAGGGGTCGGGAACTCGGAAGTAACGAGAATAAGAAACACGAGAGAATTCTAGAGAGAGTTGAGAGGAAATATGTGAGAAATGAGGCAGGAAACGAGGGTTTATATAGGCTGAAAACTGATACGTTCCACGCATCTGGTCCCCGACACATCGTATATTTGGTCGGGTGGGTGACATGGCTCCAGCAGGCGTTTAATACATGTCACAATTTGGGTGGAGTGTCAGTGCGCGCACTTTGTCGTTGCGTGCGAGCGAACGTGAGGAATTTATGTTTCTTCAAAAATTCATATCCTCTTCATACGAGCTTCGTTTTTGACGGGTTTTATATCCACGTATAGCTATTGACGAGATCTACAACTTTCATTTAGACTCCGCTGGCTAATTTTGACTTTATTTTTAAAGTCATATTTTTAACAGGCTTAGACTGTTAAAGTCCGTTAAAAATTCATAACTCTCTCATATGATATCCACTCTGGACTGTCTTTACATTGACAGATATGTAATTGTAACATCCGTGTTCCAGTATGGTTTAGTTTTTATTTCCTAGGGCTAAAAAGGAGTTTTTGGAAAAACTCTGTGCCACGGTGTAGAGCAAGGATGCCCACGACGTGGCATTGAATAAGTGGCACGCGTAATTTATTGAGCCACCACGACGTGGCCAAGGGAAAGCCACAATGTGGCAACTGATCAGGCCCAAGACCATGACTCTTTTAGGGTTCCCTTCAAATTTAAGCCTCTCTAACTCGATTCTAGGGTTCATTTCTCATCCTCTATCCCCGTCAACCTCAGAAAACCATAATCCTTTCCCTCTTGGTGGTTTTGGCTCATTTTGGGTAGTTTTGGTGCTCTTGGAAGGAAGCGAGGAAGATTTGGTGTAAGTATCAAGCAAATAACACCTTCTCATCTTGGTTATCTCCTTCTGAACCATTTGTAAGGATTCAAGTCTCTACCTTTTGGAGTTATTATCTTAGATCTAGGTTGTTTTGGTCCCTTTTGGTTCATAGAGTTGATTTGAGTGAATGGATGGAATAAAGTTGGCAACTTTATTTCTCTCTAGTGTCCCTTGAGCATCATATGTAACATCCCGAGATTCAGGTATTTCTAAATTCATCCCTATAATTTTATCATATGATATTTTGGTCCCTAAGTCCATGAGAATGAGCCTAGAAGCCCTAGTGGCAATTTTTTAATATGAGCAGGATAAGTACGCTAAGCGTACACGAGGGTACGCTGAGTGTACTAGGGCATGCCCTAGTATGCTGGGCGTACACTTATGTATGCGGGGCGTACTCTTATTATGAGAAACCCCTAATTTTTAGGGTTTGGGTAGTATATAAGCATCATTATGGATCATTTCTTCACACCTCTTCCGCCTCCATATCCTTTGAGTCATTTTTGGCAAACCCTAGTCCCTTAAGAATGTGTTTGAGTTCAAAAGTGTGTTTTTGGTGTGGTTAGGGAAGAAGGAGTTGCA